GGGGGGGGGGGGACAGAGGCACAGGGGGTGAGAGCCTCAGCCATCCAGTGTCAGTCCCTCCTGGCCCCAGCTCGGCGCTGGCACATTGGGGGACAGAGGGGCAGCAGCTGGCATGGCTGAGCCCTGCCTTTGCTCCCCACAGACCACGCCATTTACAACCTCTACGCCGTCTCCAACCACTCGGGCACCACCATGGGGGGACACTACACCGCCTACTGCAAGAGCCCCGTCTCCAGCGAGTGGCACAGTTTCAATGACTCCCGGTGAGGCTGCGCACGGGACAGGGGGGGCTGCAGGGTCGGGGCAAGCAGAGACCCCTTGCCTAGGGTGTCCCGGTGCCTCATCCCCATTGCTCACAGCACATCTCCCCTTCTCCCCAGTGTTACCCCCATGTCATCCAGCCACGTCCGCAGCAGCGATGCCTACCTGCTCTTCTACGAGCTGGCCAGCCCGTCCTCCCGCATGTAGCCAGCCCTGCCTTCCTGGGGACCCCTGCACCACTCCTCAGAGCCGGCCCCTCCAGGTTTTGGCCATTTGCTCCCCAGGTGCAAGAGGGAGGTGAAGAGGAGAGACCCTGAGGCGGCTGCAGCAGGAGGAGACCCCAGACAAGGACACCCCAGCTCCAAACTGAGGAGGGCAGCCCGCGGCAGGGCAGGGCCCAGGCAGCTCAGGCGCCTCCTGGTCACTGGCATTTGGTTTTTACCTTGGGGTATGTTTTAGTTTCTTTTTTTTTTTTTTGGTTGGTTGGTGTGTAATAAAAATACTGAGCAAGGGACTCTGCGGGCATGAGGCCACCTGCCCCATTGACTTGGCCAGGACCTCTGCTCCCCAAGGGGAGCACCCAGAGCTGGGGACCCAGGAGAGCATCCTGCATCCCTCCTGGCCTCTTGGCACTCCTGTTCTGCTTGACCATCCCAGAGGATTCATGAACTGTTCCTGGCCTCCTCCCAGCACTGCTGAACCTCCTGGCATAGGACACTGGCTCTTCAGTTGCCTCTGTTCCGTCTCAGGCAGCACATCCCCACCAGCTGCCTCATGCACACTCCTCAAGCAGCCTGAGTTCAGGTCTAGACTCATGGACAGGAGGGAAGAAAACATTTTGTGGAATTTATATGTATTTATAGTGGACTTCACTCAACCTGGAGCACCATTTTTTTTTTTTTTTTTTTGGTTGGTTGGTGTGTAATAAAAATACTGAGCAAGGGACTCTGCGGGCATGAGGCCACCTGCCCCATTGACTTGGCCAGGACCTCTGCTCCCCAAGGGGAGCACCCAGAGCTGGGGACCCAGGAGAGCATCCTGCATCCCTCCTGGCCTCTTGGCACTCCTGTTCTGCTTGACCATCCCAGAGGATTCATGAACTGTTCCTGGCCTCCTCCCAGCACTGCTGAACCTCCTGGCATAGGACACTGGCTCTTCAGTTGCCTCTGTTCCGTCTCAGGCAGCACATCCCCACCAGCTGCCTCATGCACACTCCTCAAGCAGCCTGAGTTCAGGTCTAGACTCATGGACAGGAGGGAAGAAAACATTTTGTGGAATTTATATGTATTTATAGTGGACTTCACTCAACCTGGAGCACCCCACCGCTTCCTGGCTCTCCAGGGACTTGTGCCGGGGGATGCTTTGGGAAGGTTTTTACCTGCCTCCTCATACGACGGTGCCTTAAACCATTTAGGGGAGCGGGAGGCCATTGGAGTTGCACAGGAACATCTGTCCTGCGGAGGAGAGGGAGGGGAGGACAGTGGCTTTCCGGGACCATCTGCAATTGGGGCTTTCTTCTCCCTGCAATCAGAAGCCCCCCTGGGTGCCCGGGGATGCGCGTCCCCACCTGCCCTGCTGCTCTGTCCTCCAGCTAGCGAACGCCAGTGGCCTTTTTAGCCTTCTCTCTAATTTATTCTCCTACCCATCCTGCCTTGCCCAAGGAGCAGCAGGAGGAGAGATGGGCCAGACCCAGCGCAATCCCATCCCGCAAGGCAGCTACGTCCAACCCAGCGATCCATCCTGCTTTGCCCCCAGGCTGAGCACTCTCACGCCATGAGCATCCCACCCAGCCCGGGGCACCCTGGCGGGGTTTGGGGGAGAGCAGGCCAGGATGGAGGGGCTGCCCGCGGCAGGTACCGGACTGGGGCAGCGTTGCTGCTTGGCAGGTGGCTTGTTTACTGTGTAAGCAAGATGGGCGGGAAGTGTCTCGTACAAGGGAGACTCGTGCAGGAATAAATTTTAGCTTGAACAGAGCGCTGTGTACACGTGCTTGTCTCTGGGAGGGCAGGCAAAGGAGGACTGTGCCTCCAGCAGTGGGAGGGAAACCGAGGCATGAAGCAGGAGTGTAAAACCAACGGTGCCAGGGCACCCGTGCCCTGGGGCTTGCCTGGAGCAAGGGAGATGTGGGTGCAGCAGCAGCCCCTCTTGCCCTGGGAGCAGAGGGAGCCTTTCCTCCTCCTCCGGTCCCACGGAGCTCCCAGTTCCCATGCTCTTCCTCCAAAGCCCTTGAACAATGGCCCCTTTCTCCCCCGCTTAGGGACGGAGACGGGCACCAAGGCATTAAGGGGCAGCGGGAATTCAAGCGGTGGGGCTCGGGCGCCCAGCGCCTGGGAGATGCAAGGGAAGGAGGGACACATTCAGCCTGGGCTCCCCGACACAGCCCCTTCAGTGCTGCCCTGTTCCGGCGGGGAGCCCGGGGGCAGCAGGCAAACCATCGGCTCCTCCGTGCCCCCAAAAGCAGGGTCCCCGGTGGGCCAGGCTCCCAGCAGGGCCGGTGCGAGCACACCTTCCCCTTTAAGACGCTGGTTCTCCGTGCCAGAGCCTGACCTCGGCATCCTCAGCTGAGCTGGATTAACGGGGCGAGGGGGAAGGGGCCTGCAGAGGGGACCGGGGCCGCAGGCTTCCTGGGGCTCCCCGCACTCATGGCACGGTGAGTATGGCCCTCAGGGCTCTGTGGGGTCCGGCACCGGGGCAGCAGGTGTAGGCACACTCAGAGGCCACCACCTCTGTCCCGGTGCGTGGAGCAGGTGTCCCCACGTCGCCCAGGTGCCGATGGGGGCAGCCAGGGAGGAGCGGGTGGTGGGGCAGGTGGCTGTGCCGGGGGGCAGAGCATGCTGGGGAGACTTTTAGCCAGGCTGCACTGGGAATCGACACCGCCATGAAAGACTTCACCGAAATCACACTTTGCCCCGAGGCTCTGGACAACAGCAAGGTAGGGCTTGGGGTAGGGGTCCTTGGCTGGAGCATCCCTGCCTGGCCATCCGTGGGTCCCTGCAGCACGCTCCCTGTGCTGCCACCCGCACTTGCTCTCCCGCAGACCGAGTTCTGCAACCCCGTCTTTGAGGGCGAGGAGCCCCAGGCAGTGCCAAACGCCAAGCGCCCACCAGAGGAGGACGGGACCAGCCCTGCATCACCCCAGGACGGCCTCGGTACCCACCTGGGGGTTTGTACACATGCCCCTGTCCACGGGGCCACCAGGAGCAGCCATGGGTCTGGGAGTGGGGTGGTGAGGCAAGCTCCCCACAGGGCTCTGGGGCCATTTAGGGGACTCGCTAGCACCCTGGGGACAAGAGGTCAGGACATGCCCAGCGGGGGCTCAGCTGGCCATGCAGGGAGGTGGCAAGGTGGGGGCATGTCTAGCAGTACCCTGGCTTTTCCTTGCCATCTCGCAGGTCGGCGGCTCTGGGTCCAGGCAGGCTGGCGGTACCGTGCCGACTGCAAGTTTACCTGGCTCTGCGTGGCTCTGATGAGTGCCATCCTCCTCTTCCTCATCGCCCTCCTGCTGGGCATTGTCATCCACCGTGAGTGCCCAAGCAGGGAGGGCTGGGGGACAGGCTGTGCCTGTGACCGTGGTAGGTGGGACACAGAACCAGCTCAGAAGGGGAGGGGGGCACAGCATTCTACACAGGACCTCCCAGGGTCTGCTGATCATGGGGAGGGAGTGCCCCCACCCACAGGAGGAAGGGGCATCTCCACCTCCCTGGGGCATGGCAAGGTCATTGGGCCCCGTGAGAACTGTGTGGGATCCCCTGGGACCTGAACACGTGTGGGGTCGGGTGGGAGCACAGGATATGGGGCTGGGTGGGCTTCCTAAGCCCCTATCCTGCACCGCAGACATTTCTCCCTGCTGGGGCTGAGCTGTCCCTGCTCTTCCCTGGGCACAGAGCTGACGTCCCCGCAGCCCCCTGGTGCCCCCGCCGCAGCCCTGCCTGCCCATGGCACCGCCTCCACCACCGCAGCACCCACCCGAAGGGACCCTCCAGCCCCCAAAACAGCTGCCACCCCAACCCAGAGCTGGCTGCCCACAAGTGGCACACCAGCAGTGCCAGCAGCAGGTAAGTCATGTGTGGCAGCGTGCCGGGATGGCGGTACCCTGCAGCACTAGCTCATGCCCACACTGTTGTCCCGTGCAGCCTGCGGTGGGACCCTGCGGGGCCCCGAGGGCTCCTTCAGCTCCCCCAACTACCCCGGCCCCTACCCACCCGATGCACTCTGCATCTGGCACATCGAGGTGGACCCTGGCCTCACCATCCAGCTGAAGATGGAGAGGTTCAGCGTGGAGGGCACTGCCTCCTGCCTCTTTGACCGTGTGGAGCTCTACGAGGAGCCGGGGGCTGGTGGCACAGATCCTGCCCTGGATCGGGGGGGCCCAACCAGGTAGGGCCCCTGGCACCCAGGGAGTACGGAGGTGCTTGGGGAGTAGCAGCATCTCCAGGGGCGAGCAGTGTCACCCCTTGTTGTGCCCCCAGGTTTTGCGGCAATGTGGTCCCCCCGACCTTCAACAGCAACTCCAACCACCTGCGTGTCATCTTTGTCTCTGACAGCAGCGTGGGCGCCCCGGGCTTCAGTGCCCGTTACCGCGCCGTGGCTCCCAGCGAGAGTGAGTACCCCTGCCCCCAGCACTGCCAGGACTCCTTGCTGCGGGCAGGCACCGGGTAGTGCTGGGGGGGTCTCCTGTAACACCCAGGGCACTGTGGCAGGGGAGGGTGCCCAGTGGGACACCACTACCAGCCTGTTCCTCTCTGCCTGTACTGCAGAGAGTTGTGCCTGGGACGAACACTTGTGCGATCAGGGGCTCTGCCTCCACCTGGGCTTTGTCTGCGATGGCTTCCACGACTGCACGGACAAGAGCGATGAGGCCAACTGCAGCCTGAAGCACAAAGGTGGGCCAGCCCCTACCCGCAGCCCACAGCCACCACGGCGCCCAGCCGGAGGGCACGGTGATGGGCAGTGGGAGGCAGGGGAGTGGGGGGACGGGGTGAAGGAAGAGGGGCAGGGGGTAAAGGTGCATGTGTCTGTGTTCCTCCAGAATGCGGGGGACCGCTGACTGCCTTGGAGGGGCACTTCTCCACCCCAAGCCATCCTCAGCCATACCCGCACCAGCAGGTGAGAGAAGGGATGCCAGCGGGACGGAGGTAGGAGGAGGGTGAGGGCAGGCAGGGAGGAAGGCAACCTCCCACTGGGGAGAGCCGGGGGTGCCCCTGCCTGGCATCACAGGTGTTCCCGGCTGCCCCCTGCTCTGCAGCTGTGCCTCTGGCAGATCTTGGTGCCCGTGGGCCACGTCATCGACCTGCACTTCCACAACTTCAGTCTGGAGTCGCATGAGGATTGCAGCTTCGACTTCGTGGAGGTGCATGACAGCGCAGGCACGGGGGCCGCCAGCCTCATGGGCAGGTACAGGCACACCCTGATATCTCCAGCCCTGCTGCACCAGTCTGGGTGCACGGGGCTCCTGTGGCTCAACTGGGGAAGCCGAGGCACAGGGCAGGCTGGTGAGGACAAGCCACTGGTGGGCAGGGTTTGGGGAGCTGCTGGTCAGCCCCCTGCCCACCTTGACCCCATCCCTCATCCCATGGCCCGGGCAGGTTCTGTGGCCACCAGCTGCCACCCACCCTGACCTCCTCACGCCATGTCATGACCATCCTCTTTGTGGCAGACGAGGGAGTAGCTGACGACGGGTTCTTCGCCACCTACCAAGCCCGCAATGCAACAGAGAGTAGGTAGCCAAGCAGGGGCATGGGCTGCCCGGGGGGCTGTGCAGTCCCTGTCCTTGGGAGTTTTCAAGGCCAGACTGAATAATGCCCTGGAAAAAATTGCTCTCACTCCGTAGCTGACCCTGCTTGGAGGAGGAGGTTGGGCTACAGGTCCCTGGGGTCCCTTCTCACCTGAATTACCCTATAACCCTATTGATCTTAGCCATGGGGATGTGGACTGGAAGGGCTCACCTGCACAGAGTCATGATCCATCACCTGAGGGCTGTCCCCCCAGGGAATTTGGGATCTCCCTAAGCTGGGCCAGCAATGGTCACCTATCAGGCGTGGCTGCCAGGTGGCAGTGCTCTGCAGCCACTCACCTGGATGTCCCCTGGCTAGTGACCAAGAGGAGCAGAGACGGGGTGATCTGCCTGGGAACGGGCTGACTCCCAGCAGGGAGGCCTGCTTTCTGCCTGTGCCCGTGCCCATCCCCCAGCCCATGCCCTGCCACCCTGGCCCCTCTGGTCTTACAGAGACCTGCAGCCCTGCGGAGTTCTCCTGCGGAAATGGGGAGTGCCGGGCGCTGGAGTCCGTGTGTGATGGCTGGCACGACTGTCCCGATGGCACCGACGAGCTCAACTGCACTGAGGTCTCCTACCCAGCCTTCGGTGAGTGCTACCCTCGGTGCTCCCCTCACCCCTCCCTGAGCCCATCCGACCTGGAGATGTGCTGGCACCTACCCCATGGCTAACATCTGCCCAAGGCACAGATGGCAGGCATCACTGCTGCTATAACAAGTGAAGCACTTCACTCTGTGGCAGGGTCTGTCTGTGAACCTGTGGAAGTGGAGATGTGCCTAGGGCTGGGCTACAATGCCACCTCCTTCCCCAACATCTGGCTGGCCATCCCGGATCAGGAGGGAGCCGCCGAGGTGCTGCAGGACTACCAGGTGAGCTGCACAGGGGCTTCACACAGGTCTGCCCGTGCCACACCACACCGTGCCATGCTCACCACCACTCTCCCACAGACGCTGATGGAGCTCGCCTGCTACCAGCACCTCCGCCTCCTCATCTGCAGCCTCTTCGTGCCCAAGTGCACCCCGGACGGCGGTGTCCTGCAGCCCTGCCGAGCCGTGTGCCTGGCTGCCGAGCTGCGGTGCCAGCAGTCCCTCGGCCTCCTTGGCATCCTCTGGCCCATCAACTGCAACATCCTGCCCGACTCCAATGACCCCATAGAGTGCTTCCAGCCCTGAACTGCCAAGAGAAGAGGAGGAGGGGCTGAAGCAGCTTGCCCAGAGCCGTCCCCCACCCCAAATGTCCACAGCCCTCAGTCTCTTTCCCACAGCCCTCAGGCAGCTGCTAGCCTAGCAGGGGAAGGGTTAATGCTCCCCAAAAGGAGCAAGGCTGGGCCGAGGTGAGCCATGCTGCAGGCAGAAGAGCCCAGGACTGCCCATGTCCCGCAGCCCCAAAGCCAGCAGAATAAACAGCACGAGCAGCTGACAAACCTGACGGAGCAGTTGGCTCACTGGGGGAGGGTCTGTGTGTGTGTCCTGCCAAATCCGAGGGAAAACTGAGGCATGGAGAGGGAAGCCAGGGCTGGGGTGGGGGTCTGATCAGGAATGGAGGGGCACAAGGAGACTGCCCGGCTGCAGGGGGGAATGGGCTGCTGGCTGTGCCTTTGATAGGCTGGGGGTCTGGCAGGTCCCCAGGGAGATGGATGGGTCTCAGAGGGGGCCAGGCTGGGGGCCCCATGGTGCAGGGAGGGGATCCTGACCCAGCAAGAGCTGTGGCCCTGCTGGTTGAGCTGGCCATGCTGGCTTCAGGCCACCCTGATGACCACAGGCCTGGCAACACCCCACGGCCACAAACCAACTCCCAGCTGGCCAAAAACAACAGCCCTTTCGCACCTTGGGAGAGAGGAGCCAGGCGGCTCCCTGCCAGCACCCAGCCTGTGCAGGGCAGGCAGGATCAGCCAGCAATGTCACCCGCGCCGCTGCGGGCACTGGCATGGGGAGGAGAAAGGAGAAAGCCAGCAGTGCCAGCATGCTGCCTGCTGCCCTCACCAGCCCTGGGCACGTGGGAAAGTCCCCTGCCCGGCTGGGGTTCCTGGGAGCAGTAACTCCACTGGGGTCAGCACCGCTCTGCCCTTGCAGCCAGCACAGCACTGCTGTCACCACACAGCCACCCCTGCTCAGGGGGCTCAAGCCCACCCAGCTCCTTCAGCCCCTGCCTGTCCCAGCTGCTGCAAGCTGGCTGCAGGGCACAGGGACTCCCCCCAGCCACAGGACCGTCCCTCCGCTCGGAGTCTGACCGTGTCCCTTGGATGCACTCAGTGTTGGAACGAGTTAAAGGCAAGCTGGGAGTGTCTTCGAAAGCCCGGCACCGTCCCAGCTTTGCCACGTGCCCCGCGGTCCCCTAGGGCTAGTCCTGCTCCCTGGCATGGCCGCAGGGCTGCTCTGCCCGCGCTCCCACCTGCCTGCCGCTGCCTGGCAGGTCCCTGCCCGCTCAGCCCCACACACTGCCGCCAGACCCTACACCAGCACCCCATGGCTGGCTCCTGCAGCTCCCTGTGGGTGCTCCTGGGGCTGGCACTGCAAGCCCCCCTTGTCTCAGCCACCCCGAGGCTGCCAGTCAGGGGAACCACGTGCCCCGAGGGCTCCCTCTTCCTTCTCCCACTCCAACCCTGCCTTTGCTGGGTTTCCCTCCCTTGGCATTTCTTTTGTTCCACTTCGACTCTGCTGCCTGCTTTCTCTCATTTCCCTCCCCTTCGTCCCTGCTGCCTGAGTGCCCAGACATGTTCATTGAGACGTTTGCAGCCCTTGCCTTCTCTCCCTTTGCCAGGCTGTTTGTCTCGCTCTCCCTTCCCCCTGCTTACAGCACTTCTGACACCATGGGATTATTTTTCTTTTTCCCCTTGTCTTGTAGCTTTTGGCTCCCAAGGCCCCTGATTTCCTTTGGAGTTTGGGAGGAGAGACGTGAGGAGGAGGAGGGGGGTGGAGAGGCTGCCTTTCCTAGGGCCTTCGTCAGAGCGAAGTGGTCAGGAAGAGCCGCAGCCATTCCACCCGGAGAGCAGCGGGGCACTGGGGCAGGAGCCACGGGATCGCAGTGAGTGGGGCTGCCCAGCTCCGTGGGGGGAGCTGGGACTCGACGGGGTCCTGGCTCTGGCGCCCGGGCGGAGGAGAGACACTTTTCTCCTCCTTTTCCTCTTTGTTGCAGCCGTCGCGTCCAGGAGGGGGAAGACAGCAGCTTTCCCTGGGCAAGGCCACGGGGAGGGTGCCAGCGCCAGCTGCAGGGCTGCGCTCTGCCTGCGCTGCTGTGGGAAGGACGGGGGGCAGCCTGGGCAGCGGGGTGGTCCCCGGCACCAGGGTGGTCCAGGGATGCTGCGGCCCCAGACAGCCGGCTGGGCGTGGAGCAGAGCCGCCGGCGGCAGGGATGCTGCCAAGGGCTGGGCCACGGTGCGGCCCCGCTCTCCCTGAGCTGCTGCCCTGCCACGCACCGCCCGGACACAACAACCCCAGCCCACGCAGGGCTCGCAGCTCACCCCCTGCCCTCCAGCTGGCACCCCAACAGTCCCCTGCCGGCACCCCCACGTACCCCCATAGCCCCTCACACCGCCGGTGTGGCAGCTCCAGTCCCAAACAGCCCCCAACCGCAGGCAGAGAGCCACTGCCTCCCCCACATGCTGCTGCTCCCTCCCCACCTCCCTGGTCCTGGCACCCCACGAGCCATCCCGTGGGCTACGGGACGGCGCGGTGGCACAGCCGGCGATGGGGATGCTGTGGCAGGTGCAGCCAGGCATCAGACCTTGCCGTGGGGAGCAGCCAAAAAGGCAAGGGGGAAAGAAGGGAGGAACAGCCCCCCCCCGAGCACCCACTCCCTGCCAGGGACCACAAGGCTGTTTCCCAGCCATCTTCACTGAGGTCCCCAGAGCTATCACCCCTCTCTGCCCCCTTCCAGCCCCTCCACGGCAGACAAGATGAAGGAGCTCTTCCTCCTCTTCTTCCTCGGGCTCATCACCAGCTCCTTGCAGATTGAAGACAACAAGATCCCTGGTCTGTGCTCAGGGCAGCCGGGGATCCCGGGGACCCCGGGCCTGCATGGGGGCCAGGGTCTGCCAGGCAGAGATGGACGAGATGGCCGGGACGGAGCGATGGGGATGCCCGGGGAGAAGGGCGAGATGGGCCCTCCTGGTAAGAAAGGTGACACCGGGGCTGGGGAGGGGGACCTGCTCTGCCCTGTCTGTGGGGAATGCCCTCATGCCAGGCGGTGAGTCCTGGATTCTGGCACAGCCCACCCGTTGTCAAACCAAGAGTGAATCCTGTAAAAGTGCCCCTTTCATGCCATTATGGCTCTTCCAGTCCTTTCTGTGCCAACCCTGTGCTCCTGCAACTGGCAGCAGCTCCCCGTCACTGGTGAAGCTGCATTTCTTCCCATCCTCACTGCCATCCCTACCTTCCACCCCCTGCTTTAGTGGGGCCCACCAAGCTATGCTGGTTGCATCATTCCCACCCTGGCTCCTGGGCTGGGGTTTCTCCCAGCCTGTGGGGGTTTCTCCAACTTTCTGTTGCCACTGTGCCGATTTACCACGTGCAGTTGGTCTCCTCCTCTTGTGCTGCTTTCCCACAGTGGCTATCTACCACCCACATCCTGTGGGAGGCTTGTAACCTCGGTGGGATTGGGGCTGGGCAGGAGGGCTGGGGGAACTGGATGGTGGGGGGCTGTGCTGGTGGCAGTGGCTTAGAGGTAACCCTGTCCCCCTCCTGCCTTGCCCCAGGAGCGCCCGGTCCCCGCGGGGAGGTGGGCAGCCCCGGCGTGGATGGCATGCACGGTGAGAAGGGGGCACAGGGCGAGTGCGCGGTGGCCCCCCGCTCAGCCTTCAGCGCCAAGCGCTCCGAGTCGCGCAGCCCGCCGCTGGCCGACCAGCCCATTCGCTTCGACGTGGTGCTCATCAACGAGCAGGGCCACTACGACCCTGCCACTGGCAAGTTCACCTGTGAGGTGCCTGGCCTCTACTACTTTGCTGTCCACGCCACCGTCTACCGCGCCAGCCTGCAGTTCGACATCATGAAGAACGGCCAGTCCATCGCCTCCTTCTTCCAGTACTATGGGAACTGGCCCAAGCCCACCTCGCTCTCAGGGGGTGCCCTGGTCCGCCTGGAGCCTGAGGATGAGGTGTGGGTGCAGGTGGGCGTAGGGGACTACATCGGCTTCTACGCCAGCGTCAAGACGGACAGCACCTTCACCGGCTTCCTCGTCTACTCCTACTGGCAAAACTCCGCTGTCTTCGCCTGACCTGCCCTCGGCTGCGGCCGGGGCCAGGGCACGTGCTCCTTCCCAGCCACCCTGGGGAGGCTGACACTGGGGTCTGGCTGTGTGGGAGCCGGGATACCGGGCCCCCCGCCCCACCGCGCTGCTGCTGCCCGGTGCAGGGCAGGAACGCAGCCCCTCCACCGCCCCAGGGGTGGCAGGGAGCACCCCTTCAGCAGCGCTGTGTATTATCTCTATTATCAGTGCTCAGTATTATCTCCGGCACCCAGCTCTGGGGCAAGACGCCCGTGCTGAGGAGTCGCAATAACCTGGTTGTCGTATGTTACTCGCCATAGCCCCCTCGGCACGCAACATAGCCCCGCCGGCCCGTGCTGCCAGCTTCTCCCTGCACGCAGAGCGAGCCCAAGGCTGCCCGGCCGCTGGCACGGCGAGGGGCCCGGTCCCACCGCGGTCCTGGCACGCCCCAGGGCTAGCGGTCACCCCGGCTCCCTGCCCTCCGGCCGCCCCGCTGCCCTCCCTTCCTCCTTCACCCTCAATAAAGGGCTCCTCAGCCACGCGTGTGCCTGCTGCCTGTGCGCCCCGACCGCCTGCCCCGCTCCTCGGGGACCGGCCGGGCTCCCTGGGGCGCTGGCACCCCTCCGGGGAGGCTGCTCCCGCCGGGCAGGGCTGCGTGGGTGCCGGGGACACGCGGGACAGCGAGGGGTGGCGGCAGGGCCCGGACCCGAGGGCCGCGGTGGGCCGGTGCCCGGTCGCCTCCCTTCCCGCAGCAGGGCCGGCGGGAGCCGCTAGATGGAGGCAGCGGCGAGGGGACACGCTGCTGCCACGGGCCCGTCCTACCCACCCCCGAGGGCCCGGGAGGGAAGCGGGGATGGGGGGGCTCCCCCCGCCCCGAGGTGTCCTGTCTCCCTGCGGCGCCACGGCTGGACGGGAGGGTCCCGCTCCGGCCAGGGCCAGCCCGGTGGGAGCGGGCTAGCCCGGGGCCAGGCGGGGTCCCCGGCCCCCAGCAGGGCGGGGGGGAGCCGCTAGATGGAGGCAGCGGCGAGGGGACACGCTGCTGCCACGGGCCCGTCCTACCCACCCCCGAGGGCCCGGGAGGGAAGCGGGGATGGGGGGGCTCCCCCCGCCCCGAGGTGTCCTGTCTCCCTGCGGCGCCACGGCTGGACGGGAGGGTCCCGCTCCGGCCAGGGCCAGCCCGGTGGGAGCGGGCTAGCCCGGGGCCAGGCGGGGTCCCCGGCCCCACGGGACGGGGCTTGTGGGGCCCCCTTCCTGCCGCCCCCCCCCGCCAGCCCCCCGCTCCAGTGTGAACGCGGTGACCCGCCTCTGGGAAAGGTCCCTATTTTTAGCCAGGGAATGAAGAGCTTCCTCATTCCTGCCCGAAATAGGTCCCTGCGGGGACCAGCCAGGGAGGGGGCTTCTGGCCGGGGGCCCACCTCCTTAACGGGCCCTGCTGCCGGGGCGGGCTGGCCACGGCTGCTCTGCCCGGCCGTGGGGTGGCGGCTGGGCTAGGCTCTTCTCCTGGCCGTGCCAGGGGGACCTTGCAGCACCCGCCGGCCCGGGACCCCCTTACGTGGCCGGACACCCACCGGCCCGGGACCCCCTTACGTGGCCAGACACCCACCTGTCCTCTGGCCCGGCTCCCCTGCTGCCCCCCAAGCAGTGCACAGAGCCCCCAGGATGACCATGCCCACCCGGGATGAACAAACCCTGCGGGACCCATGGCAAGCTGGCAGCAGCCAGCCTGTGTGCCCCCGTGGAGGGCCAGTACCACCCTCAAATGGGGCTGCCCACAGCCCCACAGCTCCCCACCTTGGGACTGGGCACCGTGCGGAGACCAGAGGACACCTCGGGGCGGGGGGCATGTCACTGCAACCTGCCTGGCTGTGTGGGACTGGGGGAGATGCACAGTCCAGCCACCCCCAACCTACAGGGGTCTGTGGAGGTGTTGGGACCCAGGGTGAAGCCTCGGTCCCCAAAGGGGTGCTCTGCTCCCATCTTTCAGTTCCTCTTCGCAGCCCCAGCTGCAGGATTGTGTTACAGCGGAAGCGTCTGTTTGGGTTGCTGATGGCCTTTTCTGTAAGCAGAGCTGCCCAGGGGCAAACAATGCCGCAGAGCAGATCGATGGCTGGTGCTGTCTATTCTGGGAGGGAAGCGTGTGGGGGCTGGGAGCATCTTCTGGTCCCTATCTCCATGTGGGGGAGCACAGCTAACAGGGGCAACCACAGGCATAGCACTTAGCACAACAGTTTCTGGGCTCTGCTTTCTTTGAGATGCTCTTGGTCTTCTGGACACTTTGTCTAGAATCATTAGGAGACTGCTGGGAACCCTCTGAGGAACATAGGTGTGCCTGCTGCTGCCTGGGGAGGAAGAGGATAAGGAAAATATAAGGATAAGAGAAGGGAAGCCACAGGAGACCTTGACTTCCGGCAAGTTTTTAGTAAGCTCCAGCTGCTTCTGACGAGCTCTACCAGCTGCCCCTAATGAAGGAGTGGTTGAAGCCCCTGTTCCAGCTGAGCCCAGGTTAGGGAGGGGCCAGCATCCCTTAGCCAGTTCGAGGGGAAGCCTATATAAGAGCCAGGCTCAGCACACAGGTGGTATAGTGCAGCTGATAGAGGCAGCAGTTTGTGCAGAAAGGTGAGTTGTTTGGGTCTGGGGGTTTCTTTTTTTTTGTTTTTTTGTGGGTTTGTTGTGTTTTTTAAAGTGCCAACACCCCTTCTCAGAGCAGCACATGGGTCCTTGGTGCACCGAGGTCACAGTCCCCAGCAGACATTGGAGCAACTCATCCTGCAATGCTGGAGGACACAGCCGTGCTAGTGCTGAGCTGCAGAGGGTGCCTGGGGCCTCTTGCTGGGGTTGGTGCACCTTTGCTGGCAGCCTGCAAGAGGTGTGTGGTTTTGTATGTCCTGTAGCTGTGCTGCCAAGGGGAGGAACTGCTGGAGGAGGTCAGCGGGCTGCGTGGCATCAGACAAGGCGTGGAGATCAACTGGATCATCTTTGAGACCCTACAGCTATGAGAGCCCAAAACTTCAACTGTGGTGGTAGAGCATGCACCTGCCAGGTTTGAAAGTGGAAATGCCCTTGATGGTGAAGGTTGCCCTGATGACTACTGGCAGCAGAAAGATGGCTCCTGCTCCACCCAAAAGTTTGTGGTTATGGCATAAGTTCAACACCCTCATCACTGACAAGGTGCAGGGAGCACTCTCCAGTCATCTTCAAGTGACCTTGGCCAGCTGACCTGGTAAGGAGAGCTTTAAACTGGGAATGGCAGGGGAGGGGACAATCCTCACTCATGTGGGGATGGGGTGGGCAAGCAAAGGGCTGGGGGGTGTGAACAGCGGGGACTGTGCTACCAACAGAACAGGGCTGAAGTGGGGTCACTTCAGCACAGGGGCACAGATAGGGGAGCGCCGTAGGACAGCATTGCAGGCACGCTCTTGTGGCCTTGCTGGGAAGTGGGCGTGTGGACAGGAGGAACTAGCAGGCTCTGAGCACTTACTGGGCTGGAGCCTCTCTGCGGTGATGACTGATGTGTTAGCTGATCCTTCCCCTCTGCTCTGCACAGCTGCAGCGTTAGGTGCGGTGCTGGGCTCCCCAGTACAAGACAGGGACGTGCTGGAGAGAGTCCAGCAAAGGGCTATCCATCTTCTGCTGTGAGGGTGATCAAACGCTGGCAAAGGCTGCTTGGAGAGGTAGTAGAGACTCCATCCATGGAGATATTCAGAAGCCGAGTGGTCACAGTCCTGTGCAAGCTGGATGATCTCGAGGTCCCTGCCAGCGTCAGACACTCTGTGTCCCCAAGGCCTCGGCACTGTGGCTCCGAGGTGCTGGGATTGCCGGTGTGGCTCCCTGTGCCGAGCCACTAATGAGGGAGCAGATCTGGTGCACGGGAGCAGCCCAAAGACCCCCCACAGCTCGGCTGCTGATCATCACCTGCTCCCTCCCTGTTGGCTTGGTATCATTAGCTGCTCATGCTGCTGCGCATCTGCAGCGAGTGTCTCGTGCCAGATCCCTGCTGTCAGGCAGACGATGGCTGTTGTCCCCAGGCAGGGACTAGCAGCTCATTAGGGCTGGGGTGTTGCAGCTGGGCTGACAAAGGGATCCCGTGGATTTTCCCAGGGCCTGAGGGGGGCTGGTTTCAGCAAGCTGTCATCCCCCACCACCTCAGTGCTTCTGAACTGGGGTAACCTAGCAGCATCATGCTCCTCCTTTGGAGAAGGGAAAAGGGTCTTTGCATCGAAGTGGGCTGAGACCAGCCCACTCTGCTCATGTATGAGGCTCCCAAGCAAGTTCTGGAGCAGAGAGTACCCCTGGGGACTCCAGATCTCATGCCCTGGAGTGGCCTGTGAGCATTGCTGCTGCTGGACGCCCTCCCCAGGCAGTGCAGCTCTGCACCAAAAGCTGTGGTGCCAGAGCAGGCAGATCTGGCATGGCTGACTATCAGTCTCGGGGACCCTATGTGCTGCCCATCAGCTGGGAGGTGGTTGCATTTTCCTCCTGTAATAGCTTGCTGCGTGGCCAGTGAGTGAGCCAAGTGCGTGCAGGATGGCTCCCAGGGGAAGGCTGTGTCCTTCACATCCTGTCCTGGCTTGGCCGCAGTGGGCTGAGGTGGCTGAAAGCCCTCTCTGTCCCCTGCTGGGACTGGCTGAGGGGATGGTGGGCTGGGAGCATCCTGCCTGGGCAGGGGATGGCAGATGTCCTCCTGCTCTAGGGCAGCTCTGCAGCCTCCCTGGGTGGCCAGCCTGCCTCAGCATCACACCCGGGGAGCAAGAGAGGCAGGCTGAGCAGTGCCTCAGTTTCCCTAGTTGTCCCCCATCTGCCACCAGATGCCTGCAGGGCTCGGGCAGGCTGATGGCTGGCCTTCTTTCCCATGCCTGCACTGTGCCTGGCAGAGCTGTGCTCCTGCCGCAGATTGTCTCCTTCTGGCTTCCCAGCAGCCCCTCTCTCCCCACTGGTTTTCAGCCAGGGTGTGAGAGGATCCTGGTTAAAATTAGCTAGTTTTCTGGCGTGGCCCTGCCGAGGCAGGTGAGTTCAGGGCAGGGTGAGCCAGAACTCCTGGGGTCCCTGCCCATCAGGGTCGTGAAACATTTTTCCAAACAATTTACAAGGATGATGGAGAAGCAGAGGGTGCTTAAAAGCACGCAGCAACCTGCCAAGAGCTCAGATCCTGGCCAGGGAGTAGCTCATTGTGCAGAGAGTGCATCTGCTCCCCAGTAGCCCAGCCCAGCTGAGCCTGCTGCAGCCTTTCTGAGAGGCGAGACCCTCTGCTGCCTCCATCCCTGGGATAGTCAGGCCTGCCAACACCCTCCATTTCAAGCAGCCAGACATCGTGGTGCCAAGGACACACGGGAGCAGGGATTACACACCCCTCTGCGTGTTTCTGCCAGCCTGGAAAATCCCATCCCCTCTGCTTTGGGATGCTCAGGCCCTGGGGAGCTCCAGCTCTGAAGAACCTGAGCATGAATCCCTTCATTCCAGTGCAGAGATGGACTGCTCCTGAAAAGAGGGGAAGCTGCATGTTCAAGCCCCTCTGCAACGCAGCTGTTGCTTGTGTCCTAGATAAACAGCTCAAAGTTACCTTCATTAAGAGTGGAAAGAAGATGCCCACCGGTCCTGGGCTTTTGTCAGCAAGAGCTACCCCAGCCACTCTCTCTGCTCCTGGGCACAGAAGAGGTTGCAGCACCAAACACCTCTCCAGGCAAGATGCAGGCGTTAGCACTGGTGCCTCGCAACATGCACACTCTGCCCCCCTGCACAGGTGTATCCACAACCACCTCCTCTCGCTGTGGGTTAGCGGAGCAGGGGCTGGGGGATGCCAGCCCTGGAAATCCCACCTACCCCACCTGTCTTCAGGTGTGGATTCATTTCCTGCGTGCCAGGCTTTTCCTGTGCAGCAGCCTAGCTCTGGGGTATCCCACAGCACTGCCTTTCTGAGTGCAAGTACCACTGAGTTTGCTGGTGTTATCAGCTCTCCAGCTCTGACCCTTGAGTGAGGAGTAATGGGCTTCCTCTGGAGCCCAGGGGTGAGCAGAGAGGAGACCCCTTTCCCCCCTGCCAGATAAAACCCTTCCCAAGAATGAAGCAGCAGGCAGTTTTTGGTAAAGGAGACTTTAATCTGCTCAGTATCTAGTCCATAGTGCAAAGAGTTAAAACTTAAGGCAAAGCTTTCTTTTTAAACTTTTTTTTAATAAACAGACAACAAATAAACAGGCCTTAAAACAATAAGCATGACTACTATAATAGAAAAAGGGTTTGAGGGGAGAAACTGCGGTCCCGGGGAGGTGTCCTTCCCCCCTGTAATTCACATAGGAAGCACTGCACCCTGAGGTCCATGAGCTGGTCCCAACCAAACACCACTGCCTGCAGCCAGAAGCACGGCCACGATCTCACTCCTGGCTGTCTCTAGGGGCACATCCAGGGAATGGTGCAGCTCTGCAAGTGCCTGGGTCAAGCTGGACCCTGGGGAACACAGCCTGTGTGGCTGCGTTTGCTGCTCTGGCAAGGGCTTGGCTACTCAACTGCAAGTGCCACGGGACAGGTGGCTGGAGAGAGCAAACACTAACAGGGGTGGTGTCTCTCTGGGGAGGCACAGGGACAAGAGGCTGAGAAAGAGGGCTTGGGCAGGGAGCTTTGCATCTCTGTAAAGTGGAAGCAGCTGACAGTCCTGGGGTCAGGCCCTTCTAACACCCATTATTGGTCAGGAGCCCAGCTTGGCCCATGGAGCCCCTCCAGCCCCCCAGAAAGCATAGGAGTAACCAGCCCCTACAGCACTTCCCAGAGCAAAGCCACTCTCCAACATGATAATATCTTGCCACAGCTCCGGTTTACAGCATGGCCTGGCCTCTCTGCTGCCTCTGTTTTGGCTTAAATCACTAATCAAGGAGAATAGAGAAGGAAGACCATGCCAGCTGCCCTCAGGCTCTTGGCTTGCAGTGCAGGAGTCAAGACTCTTTCCAGTCTGGCTCCAGCCAAAATGTGGCACGTGGCTGACCTCAGGCAAGCAGCTGGAAAAGGAAAAGTTTTTTAGCGCAAGGCTCTCTTTCAGCCCAGCAATTTCTTGGAATGGTGCTGGTTGACCAAGCCGGAATGAGCCATCTCAGGCCTTCCCAGCCAGGATTAGATGCCCTCATTAGATTTTGGGGGACACTTTTAAATAAAACTAGCTACATATATGACATATAGTAAGACTACAGCAGTGTAACCCTGCCCTAATCAAAGATAGCCATGGTCCTGGTACTGCTCCATGCACGCTGCAGATATGCAGCACGGATATGCAGGACACGTGCCTGGAGCTGGAATGTCTGAGTGGGTTCCCAAGAGCTTTGGGGTGTCCCCTCTTCTCCCAAAGAGTTACTTCCTCTAGCCAGCCCAGGCTGGGAAGCAGCAAGCAAGCACTAGTGTGAACCACCAGCTCCATGGCACTTCAAGCCTGAAGAAAACGTGTGTTATCTAGAGAGGATTCTCCAGCATTGGCTCAGACGTGTGCTGCTGCTGCTGCTGCTGCCAGGGTTATGAGCACTGGCCAGCCAGCCACCCCTCAGGTTCCCCAAGCAGCACCACCACCCCTGCAGAAAGAGTAACACCTTCCGGCCTCCCCAGGCGAGTAACCTGATGTGTGCTTGCTAGTCTTGCATAGGTGATGCGTGGAAGCGACAGCAACACTGAGCTCTGCAGTCAGCTGGCCTGCAGGGAGCCTGTGTTCATCACAGCTCCTCATTGTCCTGGCAAGGGGAATAGGAAGCTCAAAAACCAAAGCCGTGGTGGCTGGGATACTGAAGTACCCCAGAAAACCTGCTCTTCTCCAGCTGAGAGCCAGGCTCAGCCTTCTTGTAGCAAAGCCTAAAAAGCTCAACTGTACTCATTAGCTCTCCCAGGGCCTTGCAAGAGGGGCACACTTCTCCCTTTCCAGGGAGCTCCCCCACTTCGGTGGTAGGGAGAGGAAAGTGAGGTCTGAATGCAGTTTACCAGGTAGTTTTCTGGTCAGACCTTGGGAAAACCCCTCCCTTGCCTTGCACCAGCCCCTGTGATTCCCAGGAAAGCACAGCCTTTAACCTTTCCTTCAGCTTTGGCTAGGAGGGACCAGAGCATCTTTCTGCACTCTGCTTTGGATCTCAGACTGCTGCAGGCTCCAGGCAACAGGCCCTGAAAAAGCAAAAGTTGTCAACAAAAAAAGGTAACTCTTTCAGCCTGCTGCAGAGATCAGTTATTGTGCTTGCTAGCAAGAGCTACAATCTAGTTAGGTAGCAGGTGTGGCTAGCAGTCACTCCCAACAGCCTTTTGCCCTTTCAGTACCATCCTTAGTTCTTTGGAAGCTGCTCAAGGCAGCCATGGGAAGTTCTTCCCCACAAGAGGCAGACCAGGGTGCCCTTGACCTCTTGGGAAAATGACCCAAGCCACCCGCCCCTTGGGCTCACAAGTACACATTAAGTGTCTGGAGGATCATCTGGCGGCAGAGCGGGCAGTTGCGCTGGTAGATGGCCTGCTGCAGGAGGACTTCCGTGCACTCCTGACACAGGCACAGGTGCCTGCAGGGCAGAAGCAGGACTGTCTTGGTTTGGTCTTGACAGATAACACATTTCTTACGTTCCTCTTGTTCTTTCAAGAGCATCCAGGGGTCATCATCTGGAGTGCCCTCACCGCTCCCAGCTGCTGCGTTCAGCTGCTGCCTCCTCGGAGCTTTCCCCCAGGAGGTGCCTGGTTCCTCCCTGGGCGGCTGGCGACGCTGTCCTGCCAGGGCACTTCGACTCAGAGCGGGACGTGCTTGTGGTACCTGCTCTGCGTCAAGCTGGTCCTCGTGCTCAGCTGGCAGCTGGTTGACCCCTGCCAGCATCATCCTACCAGGGGCTGCGGGTCTCGGGATGGCCGCGGCTGCCCCTCGCTGGTTGCTTTCCCGGTTCATTGTTCTGCCTCCTCTGCTCCAGTTGGTCACCTGCAGACTCCAGTCCACCAACCTGCGCCAGGCCTGGGAGGTCATGACCATACCCAGCGTCAGGACTGCCACCTGATAAAGCCGCCACGCATCCCGCTGCAGGCGGTGGTAGGAAGGCAGTGTGGTAAAGTAGCCCAGCACGTAGTCCGTCAGCGTCCAGAGCAGCCCAGGGTTGAAGACAAAGGCGCCGACCACAATAATGAGGAGGAGCAAGCCCAGGCCGTAAATATTCACGAAGAAGATGTTGATGAAGAGCTCAGCAAAGGAGGCGAGGAGCTCAAGGGCCAGCCGGCAGGGCGACCACAGCAGGATGGACACAGCGATGGCACCGCTGGAGACGTGCGCCAGGAAAGCGGCCAGCAGGTCCGTGACTCTGAGGAAGGGGCTGGCGACAGAGTCCCACAGGGCCACGACCAGGGTGAAGAGGTTCTGCGTGCCGATGAGGCAGACGTTGACCAGGCTGTTGACGAGGTAGGCCAGCAGGCTGGTACCGATGGCCAGGCCCTCGCCCACCTGCCTGGCCAGGGCCTGGCCGCAGCCCAGCAGGCTGCAGAGCCCGCAGCGCAGCAGCTCCCTGCTCCGCAGCCCCAGGTGGCAGAGGAGGTGCCCGGCCACCTTCAGCCCCTCCAGGCCGCAGCAGCAGCAGCGCAGCAGGCCGGCCAGCTCCTGCAGGACGCCCATCCCCAGGCAGCAGAGCGCCCGGGCCAGGGAGGCCAACGAGAAGAGCAGCCCGTCCCAGCAGGCCAGCGCGGCGGCGGCGGCGGCCGAGGGCAGGCTGCAGGCGGCGGCCAGCAGCCAGAGCAGCGCCGACACCAGCGAGGACACCAGGAAGAAGTTCACGTCCAGCACCAGCACCAGCAGGTCCAGCGCCATCCGCAGCCCGCGGAGCAGCACGAACAGCAGGTCCATGGCGCCCCGCCGGGGGCCCTCACGACGCCGTCAACCGCGGCCCGCTCGGGGCCCCCCTTGCGCTGGGCGCCGCCATCTTGGCTCGGGCTGCCGCGCGACGCCGGGCCAATGGGCGGC